GCCCACCGGGGCAGCCTCTTTCATGAAGTACCGGCTCGGATCTTTTTTTTTAAACTGACAGTTACAGTTAAATTGTTGGCGTTCTTCATATAGCTCGGCCGGGAGCCCTTTAACTCCTCTGCATTCACATACCTTCTGTCAGTCAACGTCCTGCCTTTCTACTTGTTAATATTGTCTTTTAATGAATAGCAATCCTAAATTGTAATAAAGCTCTATTTATCAGGACCAGCAGATGGTGTAATGGTTACATCATTGGACTTCCATAGAGACAACCACGGTTCAAGTCCTGGACCCAGTGGCTTAAAGTGCTGAGTGCACATGTGTGTGTGCCTAAAATCCCAGAGGAGAAGGGACTGAGGCATGGCCAATCCTCCTGGGGGGTGATTTCTCATTTTCTCTCTGTCTCTGTCTCTCTGGTGAATGCATGCACCCTATAGCAAAGATCTCTCTCAGTAAGCAAATAGATAAATAAATAAAAACAAAGCCCTATTTATCAACACATTCTTTTTAGTTTGCTGTAGGGCATGTGGCTTGTGCTCTCACCAGAGAGAGGGAAATAATACTTGTATTATGCAAGTATTACCTACGTACATTACCTGATCATGAATTACCCATGTGTCTATGATGCTATGTGTATAATTACAAAATAGCTTAAAATAATGGAGGCCAGCAGGCAAGTGGAGAAGGGACCAGAGGACAGCCTACTCACCCGAGCGACCCTCCTGTCTCTGTTCAGCTTCAGACCTGGAGAAGGAAGCACAAACATGGTGTCTAGGACCATCTGTCAGGGTAAGGGGACTTACCTTGGCTTCACTGGGGACCCTGGGGCCCTTTCAGCCTAAACTCACTTCCGATGCCTAGACTGGTCCTCAGCCACCCAGGTGCCTGTTCCTGGGTGCTGGGGCAGGGCTGGTCTGCCCGGCCATGCCAATGGGGACGTGCAGACGGGGGTGTGGGAACGGCTCACGTAACGTGTCGTGAGGCTCTCGTCTCTGAGAAACTCGAGCTGTTCTGTCAGATACTGAGTCCCAGGAAGCAGCAAGTGACACAGAATTGTGTCATCACTCGTTGAAGAGAAACTGAGTGAAAGGACACTTTAGAGAGGTCGAGAGGCTTGGTGGTCACCAGCTTCGTGGCAGCTCTGTTCCCTGCACCACTCGGCCTCCCCTGGGAAAGGCCCGTTGAGAAGCACCTGCACGGGGTGTTGGAGAGGTGTGCGTTGCCACGGCTCTGGAAGCTGCCAGCTGCCGAGGGGGATGGAGAAGTGACTGGTGGGGACCATCCCCAGCAGGGCACATGGTAGACTAGAGCTGAAGTACCACCATGGGCAAGAATGAGGCTGAGGCCTTGCTCAGGTGTCTCCCCCGTGAGGCCCCTCTGACCCTCCTGTTCGCCCGGCTCTCCTCAGCACTTGCGAACACACCCTACCCTCTGCTCTCCTGCCACCCTCCTCCACTGGACCTCAGCTCCCATGGGACATGGAGCTTGGTCCGTTGTGTTTATAGCCATGTCTCCAGGACCAAGAAGGGTGCCTGCCACCAGCACTTGGAAAGTGCTTGTTAAAAAATGGTGGTAGGGGCTGGCAGGTGGCATGGTGGGTAAGTGCTCGGGATTCCCACATGGCCAACCATGGTTCAAGTCCCGGACCTAGTGACTTGCTTTCTCTCTCTCTCTCTCTCTCTCTGTTCCTCTCTGGTCAAGTTTAAATAAATAAATAAATAAATAAATAATAATTCTTTTTAAAAAATGATGCTAGGCTGGGCCAGCGGATGATAAGGCCTGGATTCAATATGGCCAAGTATGTGATCCAAGTCCTGGACCTGGTAGCTTGAAAAATACACCTAGCGAGGTGGTTAAGGCGCTGGACTCCCACATGGCTGACTATGTTTCAAGTCCTGGACCTGGTGGCTTATTTTCTCACTTTCTCTGTCTCTCTTTCTGTCTGTTTCTCTTTGGTAAGCACACATGTCCTACAGTAAATTTTAAAATAATAATAAATTTTTAAAAATAAATAATCCTAAAAAGATTTAAAAACAAAACAAAACAAAACATACCAGGTACGTGTGCATACCTGCCCCCAAATCCCAAGAGAATGAAGGAGAAGGTATTGTGGTGTTGCCATCCCCCTGGGGGTGGGGGGGATGATCTCTCAACCTCTTTCTCTCTTTCTCTGTCTCTCTCCACTGAGCACATGTGCTTCTATAGCAAAAATCTTAAAAATAAAAACAAAAACAAAACACTGTGCTAGGCAACTAAGGAACCATCTGGAAAAGTATGAAAACCAGGACCAAACCTTAGTCTGTAACCTAAATAGGAACCCACTGTATCAAATACTTACAGGCAAATACTAAACCCCGAACAGTACTGGAATCTAACAGGAGCTTTTCAAGTGTGATTACAAATACAGACGCCGTAAAAAAAGACACATATTCAATTACATTTCAGATCATCCTGGGACTGGCTCTGCAGTGCAGTGGTAAAGTGCTACTCAGAAGAATGAATTGTGGGGCCAGAGGGTGGCGCAGTGTTTAAGCCACTGGACTCCCACATAGCCCACTGTGGTTCGAGTCCCAGACCAGGCAGTCGAGAATCATGCCAGGCATGTGTGCATGCATTCCCCAAATCCCAAGAGGGGGATGGAGGAGAAGGAATTGTGGCATGGCCATCCCCTCTTAGGGGTGATCTCTCTCTTTCCTTTTCACTGTGTCTCTCTTTGGTGAGTGCATGTGCCCTAGGACAAAAACAAACAAAACAAAAAACCCAACTTAAAAAAAGAAGCTGGATTGCACATGGGAGCGCGCTTTGACTCCCTGGCCCAGGATTTACACGGCCCATGCACGAGTGCCCGGGATCTGACGGGCTGGAGGGCTGGGACGGCCAAGGGCTCTTCCTCTCATCCTCACATCCACATGCTCTGCACGACTAAAGAAAACTCTGATAAAACAAGTCTGTGTTGCAGGGAAAAAGCCTCCTTGAGCGAAGTCACAAGATCAGTGACAGCCTGGGGAAGTGTTTGCAGTTCAATGTCCCCAACACACGGAGTTACTAAAAGCCGAGAGGTATGAAATGGTGAGGAAAGCGTTCTGTAACGGTCAGGTTTTTCTCTCTCGTCAGAGGTTGGGGGACTTTTCTTTCTATTTTTTCAGTACCCCAAGATACCTGGAATCTCAAAGTATTGCAGCGTCTGTCCTGAGCCTGACTCCTCCTCCCCCTGACCTAGTCCTGCTGCCCTCCTAAATTCGCTTCCAGGGGACACTTTGGCAGGACCAGGGCCAGGTCCCCTGGGGCTGCTCGGGCAAAAGTCACTGCTCTCTGCCTGCCCCCCCTGCCAAACAAGGTGCTCTGTGAGGGCAGGAAGGGCCCCTGCTTCTCTATCTCCCACCGGTGCTGTTTCCCGACGCTCCCCTCAGCCAGACCGAGATGCCTGGACTCTCACGTGGTCAACTGCTGTTCGAGTCCTAGACCTAGCAGCTTGGAAAGCACACCAGGTGCATGTGCACACGTGCCCGAAATCCTCAGAGGAGAATGGAGAAGGGATTGTGGTATGGCCATCTGCAAGGGGGTGATTTTTCACTTTCCCTTTCTCTGTTTCTCTCCAGCATGTGCCCTATGGCAAAAAACCTTAAAAAAAAAAAAAAAAAGTCTCCCCAAAGGGACACTTTGGCAGGACCAGGGCCAGGTCCCCTGGGGCTGCTCGGGCAAAAGTCACTGCTCTCTGCCTGCCCCCCCTGCCAAACAAGGTGCTCTGTGAGGGCAGGAAGGGCCCCTGCTTCTCTATCTCCCACCGGTGCTGTTTCCCGACGCTCCCCTCAGCCAGACCGAGATGCCTGGACTCTCACGTGGTCAACTGCTGTTCGAGTCCTAGACCTAGCAGCTTGGAAAGCACACCAGGTGCATGTGCACACGTGCCCGAAATCCTCAGAGGAGAATGGAGAAGGGATTGTGGTATGGCCATCTGCAAGGGGGTGATTTTTCACTTTCCCTTTCTCTGTTTCTCTCCAGCATGTGCCCTATGGCAAAAAACCTTAAAAAAAAAAAAAAAAAAGTCTCCCCAAATCAGAATTCCACTCTGCCTTTCGGTGGCCCCTGCCTCAAATTCAGGGTAGAGCCCTCGTTCATCAGCCGGCCCGCAAGGTCTCTGCTCCCCAGTCGGGCTGACACCTCCCTCCTCTCTCAGTGACCCCTCCCCCCCAATGCTCACACCTGCTCAGCACCTTGGAAGCCACACATCCCACCTTCTAGTTACCCCCGAGCGTCCATCCCATGCAGACATAGGGTGTGCCTGGGAATGAGAGCCGACGATAATCTTCCAACTTACCTATTTTTTAGAAACTGGACCTTCTTTCTCTTACAAAAGTGGGACACTTGCCTCCCAGGCTGACAGCCTCCAGGAAGAGCTATGAAGCCCTTTGGACTCAAAGACACAGGGGTGGGCCACCAGATGGTCCCCTCACCACACCAGGGGAAACGTCCATCTCAAAGTCCTTCCTGCTGCCACCTGGGGCACGTGCAGTGTTAGCAGTCAGCCCTGGTGGCCTGACAGGTTTTTCAGAGGGTCACAGAGACCCAACTTTTTTTTTTTTTTTTGAACGGTCAGCAGGTACACGTGCTTGCCAGAGTTAGAGAGAGGAAGGGGGAGAAAGCACCCTCCAATGGGGTGTGGTCATTGCCACATCCTCCTCCTGTCTGGAATTTGGGCATGCACGCACACACACGCACCTGACATGTTTTTCAAGCTGCTGGAGCCAGGATTCAAACCATGCAGACAGCCATGTGAGATCAAGTTCCCTTAAAAGCCACCAGACCACAGGGCCAGACTGAGGCCCATTTTTGTTGTTGTTTTAGTTTTGCTATGGGGTGCATATACTTGCCAGAGAGAGACAGAGAGAGGGGGAAAGTAAGAAAGCACCCTTTCTCCTCCATTCTCTCAGGATTAGGATTGGGGGTACACATGTGCCTGGTGTATTTTCCAAGTCACTGGGTCTGGGACTTGAACCATGGAGTCAGCCATGTGGGTTTTGGCCATCTAAACCACCAAGTCACCAGCTAGTTGAAGAGACCAAAACTCCCCGGTTTTTTAGAGAGCCCTTTTTTTTTTTTTTTTTTTTTTTTTTTTTTTTGCTATCCGGCACATGTACTCACCAGAGAGAGACATGTAGAGGGAAAGTGAGAAATCGTTCCTTGGGGGGATGGCCACACTGCAATCCCTTCTCGTTCTGCTCTGGAGGATTTGGGGCACACCCAGTGTGATTTTCAAGCTGTCTAGGACTTGAAGTGCAGTGGGCCATGTGTGAGTCCAGTACCTTAACCACCACATCACCTGCTGGCTCAGAGGCCCCGTTTTTAAAGTGAATTGAAGTAAACTCAGAAAAGCCATTAACCCATTCCCTCCCCTTTGTCTGCTGGCACTTCCCAAAGGCCACAGAGGACGACCGGGGCTGCTCCGGTCCTGCCAGGTGCTGCCCGAGGGAAGGCAGAACGGGTTCCAGCTTTTCTAGTTTTGAAAAAAACAAACTCTCCATTTTACATGAAATCTTTTCATTTTGGGAACCAGCAGTTAGCGTAATGGCTATGTCGCTGGATTCCCACGTAGTCGACCGCGGTTTGCGTCCTGGACCCGGTGGCTTAAAATTCACGCCGAGCGCGTGTGCGTGCGTGCCCAAGATCCCGAGAGGAGAATGGAGGAGAAGGGATTGCGGCGTGACCATCCCCCCTGGGGGGTGATTTCTCGCTTTCTGTCTCTCTCTGTCTGTCTGGCGAGCGCATGCGCCCTATAGCAAAAAGCCTCTCAAAAAAAAAAAATTTTTTTTCATTTTAAACATGGGCAACTTGTTCAACATGCCCTGTAGGCCACATGCTTTTGCTCACACTGTGCAAGTCAAATCACACCTACAGCCTGCGCACGGTGTTGTGACAAACACCGGGCACCTCCATGCCGAGGGCAGAGGGCTCAGGGCCAGGCAGTGACACGGGCCCGCCCCTGGGTCCTGATGGAACCCACACCAGAGCTGGACTCTCCCTCCTTCCTGGAACACGAGCTTTTTCTAAAAAGCCTACGCAGTACTGCGACATGGTTGTGGCCTTAGAGAAGGAAGAACGGGCTGAGCCTGGGCAGGATAAAGATCTCACCTCGACTGCTCTCTTCCAGGCTGGCACTCACACCTGCTAGGTCACCTGCCTCCGGGCCTTTCCTCTAGCTCCCCTGCCTGGATACCTCAGCTACATGACTGCTCAAGAGTCAGCTCCTCCCCCCGCCACCCAGACCGCTCTGCAGATGAGTGCCCAGTGCACCCTGCTCAGCCCAGCTCTATTCCCTCCACGGTCCTCTCACCTTCCAAGGCACTCTTCAAAGACATGCACACGGGACCAGCAGTTAGCGTAATGGCTATGTCGCTGGACTCCCACGTAGTCTACCGCGGCTCACGTCCCGGACCCAGTAGCTTAAAAATCATGCCGGGCATGTCTGTGT